AACTAATGATGGATTGCTCTAAGATCTGCCCTCTGGTTCCAAGTAAAACAGTATCAGGTTTAGAGTAGGGGACTCAGGCCAACCCCCACCTTTACAGGGGAAGAACTTGAGGTCCAGAGGTTAAAAGACTTGCCTAAGGTCTCATAGTGACAGAGGTAAGATTTGAACCCAGGTCCTCTGAGTAAATTCAGTGTTCTTGATGCTCTACCAAGCTGCCTTCACAAGTTTAATGCTTCCTTCCTGGTATAGCCCTTCAGATGCTTGGAAGCTGTCAAGTCCTTCCAGAGCCTTCTCTCCAGGGTAAGCATTCAGAGTTTCATTATCCAGTCCCTCTATGATATGAGCTGGGTACTAGTCACTATCCTGAATCATCTCCTCTCTACATGTTGTATGTCAACCTCACCATCTATGTGTATATGCCTAGAAAGGCTAGCTTAGTGTTTGGGAGACTCCAAAAGAAAATGTGGGAGAGAAGAGGAATTAGACTACCTTACAAACTGCAGGTCTTTAAGCCATTGTACAGTATGCAAAACTGGACAGTCTACCAGCACCATGCCAGAAAACTGATACTTCTTCCATTTGAATTGTCTTAGGAAGATTCTGAAGATCACCTGGCAAGATAAGGTACCAGCAGACACTGAGTTCCTTTCTTGAACTGAACTGCCAAGCACTCAAACTACTGCAGGGAGAGCAACTCCAATGAACTGGTCACATTGTTTGAATGACAAAAGTACGTTTGCCTAAAAGACTATTTTATGGAGAACTCACACAAGTCTAGCACTCACATGCAGATCAGAAGAAGTGATACAAGGACACCTTCAAGGTCTCTCTGAAGAACTTTGGAATTGATTGTGAGACATGGGAGACACTTGCAAAAGACCACCCAGCATGGCATGCCCCTATCAAAGAAGGCACTCAAAAGAAACATGAGATGTGCACATTTAGAGACATCTCTGCTCCAAATGTTAATGTAGGCTATTTGTGCCTGACCTGTGGTAGAGTCTTCTGAATGCTTGTTGGTCTGACCAACAACAGTTGAATACATTGTACCTTGACTCCAACATAGTGATGTCATTTTGGTCTTCTTTGAGAATGAAAGATAACAACCAACCAACCAAGCACATACCACAAGATGGTGAATACAGAACAAAATGAAGTCATTTATAGTCTCTCAAAAAATTCTCTTTCAATAAGCTCCAGAGAGATAACTCATTCTTTCCCCTGGGAGCCCATTCCTCTCTTAGCTGGATCTAATTGTTAGGAAATCTTTCAGTGAATCAAACTTAAATGTGCTCATTGGCAACTCTCACCCATTGTTCCTTGTTTTGTTATTGGGCTCCAAGGAGAATGAAACCTAATTATGGGATCAGAGACTAAGGGTTGCAAGAGACCTTAGAGCTCATAGAATCCAAGCCCCTTCTTTTATAGATGAGGAAAAGGAAATGGAAACTAAGTGACTCGCACAAAATCACAAAGCTCCTCAATCTCTGAGATAGGACTCAAACTCAGGTCTTCCTTTCATGTGACGGCTATTAAAATTCTTTAGGACAATTAACAGCGCTCCTGGAAATCTTGAGTTCCTTCAACCCATTTTCATATGGCATGAATTCAAGGCCCCTCACCATAACTGCCTTCTTGATGCACTCCCACTTACCTGTGTCATTCCTAAAATGTGACTTCCACAACTCCAGGTGTAATCTGACCTGAGCAGAGTAGAGAGGACCTATCATTCACATGTTTTTCATTCCCAGTTTATTTCAGCTTCAGATACTAAACTCAAGAATGAGAAGTCCACTAAAAAGTAAAGAATAGGATCATCAGAGTCATTCATAGAAAAACTCAATGAGCATATTCCTCAGAGCCACATTTGTGGGAGATCTTTTGGAGCAAATAGGAAAGGTGCCAAAGAAGTTTGTTTCCCAGGCCAATGATTTCAGGCAATTTTCTGTCCTTCACAGGAAAACTTAGAATGGCCCACAAATGTATTGATATTTGGAAAAAATTAAGAGTATCTATAGGCCTAAGAGATAACGTAATGATAACAATGGTGAGGATTCTATATCCCTCATTCAATAGCAGAAGCTACATAAGGGAGGGAAATCCTACAATGTTGAGGAATTTGGAAAGACTCCATCAGAATGCATGTGATATTCAACATAAGAAGATTCATAATGAATAGAGATCTCTTGAATCCAAGTAATGTATGACAAATCTAGAGGAAAGTTTCCACCTTACCAAACATCAGAAAATTCAGAGAGAAACCCTTAAAATATTAAGTAATGTGGAGATCAAGTATTAACTCCTCTGTTTAGCATTCAAACCCTTCACAATCGGGCTCTGATATACTCTTTCTAGACAGATTTCATATGACTCTTTTTAATCAAATGAGTCCACTTGTTTTAACCCATACTTTGAATGTGAAGATCAGCTGGTAGGATAAGGTACCAGACACTCAGGTTCTTTCTTGAGCTAAACTGCAAAGCATTCACACTCTACTGCAGAGAGCGCAACTCCAATGGGCTGGTCATGTTGTTCAAATGCCAAATGTATGCTTGCCTAAAAGACTATTTTATGGAGAACTTACACAAGGCAATTAATCACATGGTAACCAGAAAAAGCAATGCAAGGACACTCTCAAGGTCTCTCTGAAGAACGTTGCAATTGTGTGACATGGGAGACACGGTCAAAGAATCACCCATCATAGCACACCAGCATCAAAGAAGGCACTGTGCTCTATGATCAAAGCAGATTTGAAGTAGCTCAAAAGAAACATGAGACATGCAAATTTAGAAAATCCATCCCAAATGTTCACATGAACTATTTATGCCTGACCTATGGTAGAGCATTCTGAGCTTGTATTGGTCTGATCAGCCATAGTCAGACACATTGTAACTTGACTCCAACATACTGATGTCATTTCGGTCCTCTTGGAGAATAAAGGACAACAACCAACCTCTCCTGTTTCTTTTGAACAACAGTATTCATCCAATCAGAGTCCTTTCATTGATTTTATTTCACTAAGTCTCAGGCATACCTGTGAGGTCAAATTTGCCCCCTTCTGATAGGACCTCTGGTTCCCCTCGCTTCTTATCTAAACATCTGGTATTTTGGGTAAAGACATTTGAAGCCATGGATTTTACTAGTGGTTCCTTTCCTAGATTCTGTTTCCTGTGAATTTCTGGGTGTCCCGGCTGCATACAGCTAATCTCTATAATACTTAACTAGAGGAATATGCATAGACTGACTTCTCCTTCCTCCTCCTCCTTTTTATTTTAAAGTCTTTCTTGTTCAAAACCTTATGATATGGAGTCAAGAATCTTCACCATCTCCGTTCTTCTCCTGTGGAATATTCTCTAGATTATCAATATTTTTCATAAACAGTCATGTCCAGAAATGGATGGAGGCTCACAGGATCATAAACTAGACATCAGAAGCTCTCTAGTCCAACCCCTTCATTTTACATAAGAGGAAACTGAGGTACAGGGAGATTAAGTGACTTGTGCAGGGTCAAACAGATAGAAAGCATCATATTCCAGAAGTGGTCTGACCAGGAAGTCTGAAGAAGCACCATCACCTCTTATTTCTGGAAGCTATGCTTCTCAGTACAGTCCAAGGTCACATTAACCTTTTATGGCTGCTAATCACATCACATTGCTGATTTATAGGGAGATTTTAGCTCACTTAAACCGAGAGATCTTTCTCCCTATGGCTGCTCCATCCTAGACTTGTGAAGTAAAGTCTTTTTCAAAAGTTGATTTTAAGTTCAAGTGAAAGGCTTTACACTTATCCCTATGGAATTTTATGGGATCCAACTAGATTCTGGACTTACTCTTCAAACCCACAAGAGTACTAGCAGGCCAGGACTCCAGAATTCAGCAGGCTAGATCTGCCCTCCTCAAGGTTCTAGGACTGCCCCCAAGGGATAGTAGAGTTCTTATAATCCTATTAACTTCAGCCCCCATTCTGGAGTGGGTTTTAACTATCCTCTTTCATCTGAGATAAGAATCCTTCACCAAAGTCATGTCCAGTTATGGGATTCATTTTGCCAAGTCTCAGTGATGCCAGGGAGGTCCTATATTAGACCCTCTGGTTCCTATGCTCGTCGCTTCGACTTTGGGCACCAGTGTACAAACATTTAAGGTGGGGTCTTTACTGATGTCTCCGATTTTGTATTTTGTCTCCTGAAAAACTTCATATAGTCTAACTACTGTACCTCTGCTTTCCTTGTCTCCACCCTCATTCTATGGTAACCAGCTTGGGTGATGGCTACGCAGATTTCCGACTTCTGTAAGGCTAGGGCCATCTTGTTTGGGGGGAGGGAGCTTCCCCCTTCCCCAAAGTTTTTGTTCTAAAGCCCTTAATACATAGTTTTCCCAACAGAATGGAAGTTCCTCGAGGGCACAGAATGGTTCCTTGTCGTGTTGGGATTCCCAGTGACTGGCATGGTGACTCTGATTGACTTTCCTGATGACACCTGAAAAGTGGGGGAATCAACAACAGGAAATCCTCTTCCAGGCCCCATTTTCACAAGGAGAAAGAACTGGTGGCTGGGGTGGGAATGTCGGAAATCCGGGGGGAAGGGACGAGTGGTGTGAGGATCTGTGATTGCAAAAGACAAAGGACAGAAGAGGCTGACGTGCGCGGACCCAACAAGCCTAAGCTTAGCGCAAAGAAAGATGCCATTGAGTCACGTTCAAGTTCATGGCCATGGAGGGGGCTGGGGAGGAAGCACGCATGCGCACAGAGACGCGGGTTTGGCGGGATTTGGGTGGGGACGGGAAGGGGGCCATTAGTTCTTTCTCTACAGGATTAGAGTCCCGGTCCGCCAGGTTGGTTTTCAAACTGCGCAGGCCCGGAAACATCACCCCGCCCCTTCCACTCCGCCCCGCCCCCTACACACACCCATATCCGGTCCCACCACCAGAAGTGTCCTTCCTCTCTCCTCATCCCAGCCCCAGGCCAGTGAGAGCGCATGCGCGGAGGTCAGGCTGCACCTCCGCTTCCCGGGGGAGGGGGGAGCCTCTATCCCAGCGCGCCAAGAAGAGAGCTGGCCCAGGTGCGTCCTTCTCACTCTCGCGTGCCCGTGTGCGCCAGAGCGTGGGTGTGCGTGCGCAGAGGCTTGGGTGTCTGCCTGCATAGGCGTGGACAGCCAGGGGTGGGGGCTAGGGGGTGGAAGGTGGGAGGGAGGCTCTGTACAAGTGCCCCTGTATAGTCATTGTGCGCCTGGAAGGGAGGGAGGAGGGAGGGCGCTCCCCGCAGGGGGGGGGGATACGGCCTGGGCAAAGGTAGGGCAAGGCTAGGCCTTTTCCCAGGACCGACTCACACTGGAGCCCCAGCCTCTTTCTGAAAGGGGCTCTAGTGGAGCCTGTGAGCCCAGGAAGTCAAACCCAAAGTCACGGGAAGAGGGACAGAGGCAGGATTAGAAGCCAGCTCCTCCAAGACCCATTCCAGTGTTCTGGACCCTGGATGTACTTGAGGCCTCCTTCAGGTCCGAAGGCCGGACTGTCCCTCAGTCTTCTGTTCAAGCTGCTGCTTGGTCTCCTCTTCTGGGGCTCTGGGTAGGCCATGGACTCCTCCGCCTCAGAGGCAGCTTGGCCTCCTGGCATCGGCCTCTTTCGTGCACTTTCTGCATTTGCAAACACTCAGGGACGTCTGACATCACGAAGTCCCTCTCTGGCTCCTTTCTGGCGTCTGGCTTCCTTGAATTTCTGGGCATCGATATTGCACGCCCTCTGTCCAGATGAAGCTGCTGTGGCCAGGGTGGACAGGAGGAAGAAGCAGCTTTCTCCATCCCCCTTCCTTCTCACCTTGAAAGAGCGTCTTCATTCACTTGTGAGATGCTCTGCCAAAAAACCCTCCTGCTGTCCCTTGCCAAGTATACTCTCACGGGCTCTGGGGGGAGTCAGTTGTTTATTGGAAAGAACTCTGTTTGAGGTACTTATGGTCCATCTGGAAAGAGAGGCCAGGTGGCCATGGAGGCAGAGAGGTCAAGAGCACTCTGCTCAGACAGTGTTTTCAGCACCGTGGACAGTGCCTGGCCCAGCCACTAAGCAAAAGGTGGTGTATTCCATTGAATGCATAGAGGTGATGGAGGCCTGATGAAGAGAGTCAGCACCCTGGACAGCTCCTGGCCCAGCCTCTAAGCAAAAGGCGTTGTATTCCATTGAATGCATAGAGGTGATGGAGGCTGGGTAGGGACAGTCAGCACCCTGGACAGCGCCTGGCCCAGCCTCTTAGCAAAAGGTGTGGTATTCCATTGAATGCATAGAGATGATGGAGGCTGGATGAGAACAGTCACGTGGACAGAGATGACTGTTGTGCCCATGAAGATGGAAGCAGTCCCTAAGTGTTGAGAGAGAAGCCGGCCCAGGCCAGAGCCTCAAGGGTGGGTATTAGGCCATGCTTTCTCCTTGGGTGATTTCCCCAGCTCCTGTGAGCTCCACCATGTCTGCTGCAGCCCTCCTCTCTCTCCTCGGCTCTAATCTGGCATCTCATGCCCACCTTGTACAGCACAGGACACCTCTGCTCAACACCTGCAAGGGTTCCTCACAGCATCCTGGAGAAATGCAAAGAAAGTCGTCTGCTGGCATTTCCCTGGCAGACTCTGGACTGCCCTTCCCACCCCTACCCACCTTACTGGGTATTCCCTTTGTGTCTGTGTTCCATCTGCTTGTGAGTGGGTATCCTGTTTCCCTCAATGGAATGGAAGGCCCCCTGAGGACAGGGGACTGATCTCATTTTTGTCTTTGTGGCCTCGAACCTCACACAGTAGGTACTTGATAGATGCTTGTGAAGCGGTTCCTCCATTAGGAGCAATCTCATTGGTACCAGGAAAGCCAGACAGTGTCATCCCTGAAACCAAAAGATGACCCAGTATCTCAGAGGAGGGAGGGTTTGTCATTGCTAGAAGCTGTGGAGAAGCAGCAGGGTGGTGCAGTGGATAGAGCCTTGGAACTGGAGTCAGGAAGACCTGAGTTCAGATCTGGACTCAGATACTTATGAACTGTGTGACTCTGGGCAAGTCACTTCACCTGAATTTGCCTTGGTTTCCTTAACTGTAACATGAGGGTGAAAAGAGCACCAACCAGGGCAGCTAGGTGGGGCAGAGGATAGAGCATGGTTCTAAAGTCAGGAGGACCTGACTTCAAATCTGGCCCCAGACACCAGCTGTGTTACCCTGGACAAGTCACTTAACCCCAATTGCCTAAGAAATAAAAAGATTAGAAGCCCCTTTAGGTTCTAGCCACTATTTTCTATCAGGCTGGAGTTGAAATGGTCAGCAGGTAGCCCTGAAGAAATGAAGCCCACGAGCTCATAGGGTGCAATGCCCAGCAGGGACTGTGCACCTAGCAGCTGCCACAATTCCATCTGAAATGGGCCAAGCAGTACCCTCAGTGGAGACACAGCACCTCCTGGGGAGCAGACATACTAAAAGAGTTGTGGTGACATCCCCAGAAAACAGGAGTGTTTCTTTAGCATTGAAGGCATGAACTGCCCCTCCGTACATTTTACCAGACATAGCCCTATCCTGGTCAGGAAGATGATCCTTGTGTAGCTACTCTGCTACAATAGGCTGGAGCTGGGAGGACAATGGACATGATCCTCATGCAGGATCCCTGTATGCATACACTCTTCTCATTGATGGTGTATGGAGCCGTGAGGGAGTGTCTCGGGGAAGGAGTGTTCTATTGTGATCTTACTCATTTCATTGACTAAAAGTCTCTGCTTTAAATAAATAAAGAAAAGAGCACCTACCTCCCAGGGTTGTTGTGAAGAGCAAATGAGATCACATTTGTAGAGCATGTGGCACAGTCCCTGGCATACAACAGGTGCTTAATCAATGCTTATTCCCTTCCCCTTCTTCCCCAAAGAAGTGAGGAGAGGTCACTGGAGTTAATAGTCTGGATAGAGCTTGAGTTCACATAGGGATGAGTGCTGTGGTCAGAAACTGGGTTTGCCAAGGACCTCAAAGTAAGTGGGAGGAAATGTAGGAAAGAAGGGCAGATTGCCCCTTCTAAAATTGGACTGCAAAAAGGAAGAGAGATACAGGGCAATCTGATGAGAGGTTGGTAGGAACAATTCATAATTGTCTAAGGATGAGGGAGACTGAGGCATGTTTGTAGCAACAGGGAAGGAGCCAGTGGATAAAGCAAGACTGAAGATCTCCTGAGTCGATGTGTGTGGGGAGGGGTGAGGAGAGCTTGCCTAATTGGTTCAGAGATTGAAAAGCCAGCCCCCAACTTCCTTACTCTTTTTTCCTACAGGCCTGATGTCTCTTGATTGCATCCAAGGGGGGAGCCCAGAGGAGGATGGAGCGTCCACCAGGGGTCTGTTGGCCCTAGGAGAGGTGAGTTGGGGTCTCCTCTCTCCCTAGGCCACCCTCATTGTCATGGCCAGGCTGGCATCCTGAGGCTCCTGGCAGTCAGTGAGAACTAGCTGCCGAGTAGCTGGACTTGACCCCTGGCTGTGAGGGAAGGTACCTGGAGGTCATCAGCTCCAGCTCTCTCAGTTTAGTCTGGAAACTGAAGCCAGGCAGGGAGTGTCATTTACCCAGAGCCCATCAGGAGGTCAGTAGCTCTGCTGTCTCGGGCTGAATGTGGGCTCTGAGGAGCTGCGTCACAATCCAGGCTGTGCTGTTTATATCCTGCATGACCTGTGACAAGCCAGATACCATCTGTGGGCTGCAGTTTTCTCATCTGCACCATTAGGGAAATTGGACCAGATGACCTCTAAGTATAAATGCCTGTTCCTGTGGTCCCAGCTCTCCTGTCCTCCCAGTACTGGGCAGGCCCCTCTCCATCTGCCTTAGTCACCCTTTCTTGCCAATCTCCAAAACACTTTTGCATCTACTTTTTCTCCATCCTTGCCCTTCCCCAAGTTTCCCTCTTTCCCCCATGTGGCCTCTGGGCCAGCATGAATGTGTTTGGTGTTTCAGGAAGCAGTGACCTTCAGAGACGTGGCCTTGGACTTCACCTGGGACGAGTGGGGATGCTTGAGCGGCGTTCAGAGGGAACTCTACAGAGATGTGATGCTGGAGAACTACAGGAACCTGGTCTCCCTGGGTAAGGACGCCTCCCCCTGGGAATAGGGATCTGCCCTGGGGAATCAGGACTTCCAGCTGTGAAGCCCAGACATGTAGGACTGCTGCATTGGCTCAGCTGAGGGACTTCTGAAATCCGAGCCTGCTGTTTCCTTCTGGTCCCAGAGAGAAGGGCTGTCTTCTCCTTCGCTGGGCTCTTCTTGATCAGGGGACACTACCCAAGATTCCCCTGTAAGGGCATCCATGGGCTAGAGCCATTCTCCTTGTAGCAGGGAAAGGCATACAAGATATTTCTCTACAAATTGTTAATACTGTAGGATATTGGCCTCTGCGTGATCACTGGAAGTCATTCACTGCAACCTCTTCATTTTAAGTGGAAGAAACTGGCCCAAAAGTGAGGAAGGGATTGATCCAAGGTAACCCTGCAAGGGAATAACAGATGGGGGACTTGAACTGGGGCCTCTTAAGTCCCAGCTAAGGCAAATTTTGATGGGAATCACATCGTCTCTCTCCTTCTACCCACATTAGAAACATCGTCCAGCCTTCTGGGTCTCGTGGGTCCAGGTTCCTCAGGGTCCGCCAAGGTCATGTTGTGTTTGTGCAAACTAAGACCCAGAGAAGTGATGGCTCAGTTAGTCCTTGTGAGGGCTGCTCCAGAGGGGATCTGTGCTTCTGAGGAGAGCTGGGGAACGACCCTCTCGGGATCACAGAATCACAGCCCTCTGGACCTTGTCTCAGTCACTATTCCCACCAGAGCTTGCCTCTCTCCGTCCTGACTTCTTCCCCCTTCAGCACATGCAGAGCTGTCTCATTTTCTCCCCCATGAGCAGGGCTTCCTGGGCCCAAGCCAGGCCTCATCTCCTGGTTGGAGGGAGAGGGAGACCCACATCCGTGGGAGTCATTGGGACATGCTGCCAGAAGCACTTCTTTGTCTGAAGCAGAAAATCCCAGGAGTCAGCTGGGAGCCAGTGGGTGGAGCAGCCCAGCTGGGCTCTTCTGTGTGGCCATCTTTGAAGCGCTGGAGGGTGCAGGTAGGTGTGTGGAGATGACCACCAGTGGTCACATGGCCATGTAGGGGAGACTCACTCCCAAAGGCTGGAAAGCAGGAACCTCTCTCCCCATGGCTTAGCAAAGCAGTCCTTTCTTTCCCAGTATCGGGGGCTCAGAATCAAGGGATAGAAAGGTCAGGGTTCAACTCTGGGAGGACAGAGTTAATGAACCACTAGAACTAATCCTTCAACAGAGGGATGCTTCCCAGGGTAACCTGCTAAGGCCTGCTCTGCCTTGGGAAAGCCTCCAGACCAGGGCTTCTTCACCTCTCTTGTTTCACAGACCCCTTGGGCAGCCTGACAAATCCTGTGGACGCCTTCTTGTCTTTCCTTTAAAAAAATTTATTTATTTATTTATTTGGCACTAGAAAAGTTTCTTGAGTTTACCATAAACAAATTCAGCAACTTGCCCAGGCACACACAGTTAGTAACTGTCTGAGGCGGGTTCAAGCCCAAGTGTTGTTGACATGTAGACGCCTCCTTGGAATATTCTTAAATGCATAGAATAAATACATAGGGGATTACAGAGGAAATCAGTCATATGGAAGGCCACCAAATGTTACTTTTAGAAAGTTCACACATCCTGGGTTAAGAACCCTCTGCTCTATTCAAAAGAAAAGTAAAAGACAAACCAATAATTATCAAAGACTATCCCCCAGGTAGCCCAGGCCTTCTGTCAGGAGTGATTCAGGCACCACCACCATCACTGGACAGACCATGTTAATGACGTGCCCTATGATTCCAGTACCATTCCTTCTGAGCTCCTCATGCAAAGCGTGTTCCCCTGTGTGTGCTGAAATCACCTTTCCCACACCCGCTTCCTGAGGACGCACATGGCTTTGCTGGCTTGGGTTTGCATACCAAGCATTTAGCACAGTCCCATTATGTCACTGATCCGTAATTCTGCAGAGTGCTAGGGGTTTGACCAGACCCCTCCATGGCCACAGTGCCAATGCTCCCCAGAGCCCTTCGTACTAATGCTAAGCTTCTAGTTGGACCACAAGATATTGGGCCCAGAATGGAGTAGGCCTGCCTGATGAGTTCACTCACCCAGTGGTGATTTCCCCAGCTCCTTGTCCTGGACTCTGAAGTCATGGGAGTTCTTAAGAATGAGTTCTTCATATAGGGCAGGATCATCCCTCTAGAGAGGGGATGCCTGAATGCACATGCACACTTCAGCAAGTGCCCCGACTTCTCTGAGCCCCACTGTCTCCATTTGGCAAATGGGAAGGATGTGACTGCCTGGTGCTTTCCAGCTCTGGCATTCAGTGACTGCTGTCCCATCTCTGCACTGATGCAGGGTTTGAAGTTGAATAATGTCCTTCCCTCTCTGGGATTACATTTTTTAAAGTGTAAAATCTAGGGTTGAAGAGGAAGTCCCAAGTGCAGCCTGGAGAGGACTGAGGTGAAAGGATTCAGGATTCTGGTACAAGTTTGACTAATAATAAGCTTTTCACAGGACTTTATACATTCTCTAGGATTAGCTTTCTAGCCCTCTGGGTTCAACTTCTGTTTCCTTATTTTTTTTTTCAGCTTGGGATACTAAACTCAAGAACCAGGAGTCAACTGAAAAGCAAGATTTAGGATCAGGAGAGACATTAGTGCAAAGACTCCCTGGGGATGTTCTCAGGAACAAAACCCTTGTGGGTAGTGCAATCCAAGAGATCAGGGTATGGAAGCAAATGCAAAACCTGGCAGGGAAGATTCCAAAGCAGATCATTTCCCACCAAAGTGATTTGAGGCAATTGATTCTGGACAGGAAAACTCCTATTGGGCACAGAGGCCATGAATGTGTTGATACTGGCAAAAAAATCCACAGGAGTACCTGCAAGTCCAAGAGGTCATGCAGTGACAATGAAGGTGAGGGTCTCCCAGCCTTGATTCCACCTCCAAGTCTGTGTAGGGTAGAGAAATCCTGGGATTGTGAGGAATTTGAAAAGACTTTTAGCCAGAATGCAGGGATGATCCAACATCAGAGAATTCACACTGGAGAGAAAACTGAGGAGTCCAAGGAATGTGGGAAGAGTTTCCAGGACATCTCCCACCTTATGGAAGAGCAGGGAATTCACACTGGAGAGAAACCTTATACATGTAAGGACTGTGGAAAGTTTTTTACCCAGTATTCATACCTCATCAATCATGAAAGGATGCATAATGGAGAGAGACCTTATGAATGTAAGGAATGTGGGAAGGCTTTCAACTGGAAGTCATACCTCATTGGACACCAGAGAATTCACACTGGAGAGAAGCCTTATGAATGTAAGGGATGTGGAAAAGCCTTCAGCCACAGCTCAGCCCTTATTGCACACCAGAGAGTTCACACTGAAGAGAAACCGTATAAATGTAAGGAATGTGGGAAGGCCTTCAAATGGAAGTCGGGCCTCATACAACATCAGAGAATTCATACTGGAGAAAAACCATATCAATGTAAGGACTGTGGGAAGGCCTTTAGCCAGAGTTCAGCTCTTATTGCTCATCAGAGCATTCATTCTGAAGAGAAACTTTATAAATGTAAGGAATGTGGTAAGGCTTTCAACTGGAAGTCACCTCTCATTCAACATCAGAGAATTCACACTGGAGAAAAACCTTATAAATGTGGTGAATGTGGTAAAGCCTTCAGCCAGAACTCAGCTCTTATTGTACATAAAAGTATTCATACTGGAGAGAAACACTATCAATGTAAGGAATGTGGGAAGGCTTTCCACTGGAATTCATACCTCATTCAACACCAGAGAATTCACACTGGAGAGAGACCTTATGAATGTAAAGAATGTGGGAAGGCCTTTAGCCAAAGCTCAGCCCTTACTGTACATCAGAGAATTCACACCGGAGAGAAACCTTATCAATGTAAGGAATGTAAGAAGGCTTTCAGTCGGAGTTCAGCCCTTATTGAACATAACAAAGTTCATACTGGAGAGAAACCTTATAAATGTAAGGAATGTGGAAAGTCCTTTAATAGGAAGTCACATCTCATGCGACATCAGCATTCTCACTGTAGAGAACCCCTAAAAGTATAGGGAAATATGAACAGAATCACATGGCTTAATGCAGAGTGAAGACAGCACAGGCAAAGTTAGAATATTTATGACTACAGTAGCATTCATAAATATAGCACTAAAGGCTAGCAAAACAGATGAACAATAAACAATGTTGGTTCTGGGCTATTAAAGTTACACCTTTCCTTTCTGCTAATAATTGACGAACTTCAAAAATGGAAAATGATATTTTGTTAGTCAAAATTAGCCCACTATCCACTATCACTTATCTTTTGATAGAGAATTTGTTTTTTACCTTTTATGAGATGAGAGGGAAGCTTCCTGGGAAAGAACTCTCATATCAAAAGCAAATATCAGTTTATTAATGCTGGAAAGCTTTCAGATGCAATTCATCCCTTGTTGATGGTTTGTTCATTAAATGGGAAAGATTGATCAGTATAGTCCTTTTTTATTTTTCATTAATTTATTTTGAATTATCAACAATCACTTCCATAAGCTTTTGAGTTTTAAATTTTTCTCCCCCTCCCTCCCTAAGATAGTGAGCAATCTGATATAGGCTATACATATATATTCCTATTAAACATATTTTCACATTAGTGATGTTGTAGGTAAGAATTAGAACCAATAAGAGGAACCACCAGAAAGAGGAAACAAAACACAACAGAAGAAAAAAAAATAGCAAATAGTATGCTTCGATCTGCATTCGAACTCCATAGTTCTTTCTGTGGATGTGGATAGCATTTTCCATCACGGGAAATCCTTCTAAAGCAGAAAACAAAAGCATGGATAATCACATGGAAAAACAGACCCCAGGCATATCATGCATATGGGAAAAAAGTCATTGCAACTTTACTGTCAGAAGAGAAACTTTGTGGCTGGAATAGAGGTGGGGTTATTTTGCAGGGCCTCATGAAACCATAGCCTTGGATTTAGCCTTGGGCTTACATTGTGGCTGTGAGGCCTCAGGAAAGTCATTTCATCATGTGCCTTGGTTTCCTTCTCTGACTACTAGGGTTAGTAGTTCTTAATACTACCTGTCAGAATATCATGAAGACCACATATGAGAATGTCTCTAATCATAATTCATCATCATATATGTGTAAAAACTGTACAAGGTAGGGAGAGATGTGGGTAAAGGAGAGGCATATATGTTAACACATTATGTATGTATGTTAGATATGTGTAAACTATAGATAAGCTTTAGGTGCTACAGAAAAGAAAGATCATGAATATGGGCATAATTTTGGTGAGGTCTTCTCTCCTACACACGCATGTAAGAGATACTAAAAATATTTGGAATGGCTTTTGGGTCAACCTGAATGTGGGTCTGACATAACAGCCATAGGACTATTCTAGCTGCCCCCCCCATTAGAAACTTTACCACAGTTTGAAAGCTCATGCATTTGTCTCCCAATTACTCTCAGAGTACTTCCCAGTACTGTACTGTACTGTACTGTGGCATCTTAGGTCAGAAGAGCACAATCCCATTTCTATTCTCGCCAAATGATGATTTTATTTGAACTGGGCAGTACTGAAGAACTGGCTAAATTTTAAAGTCTACATAGATACATTAGCAAAAGTCAAAATGGGAGGGAATTTGAAGTGTGATGGCCTCATCCTGCTACAAGTGTAGAATTTATTCAGTCATTCCCTCACTCCTTTAGCAAACACTGATTAAGCGATTGCTGCTTGAGGCCAACCTGCTAAGTAAGATTGGAGGCTTAGGACACTAGGTGCTGAACTTAGGACTCTGCAGATAAAAGGCTTTTTAAAAAGATTGACAGAGCTCTTCAAAAATTTATTAAGTGGTTCACATGTATTATCTAATTTGAGCCTCACAATAATACTGTTGAGTTAGGGATTTAAGGTATTATTTTCTCCATTTTATAGATGAAGACACTAAAGCTCCCAAAGGTGAAATGACTTGTCCATGGCCACTTATTAAATAAGTATCAGAGATAGGAATTGAACCCAGGTCCTTCCTTTCTCAAAGTCCAACAACCTATTTCCAAGGTTTGGTTGATGTAATACCTGCCTTCCAGAGACTTCGCTTTTACAAAGGAGGTGGGGAAGAATGGCTGATAACATGAATACAGATAACTGAGGTAACATTCTGGCTTAGTCTCTATGAGACCTCAGGAAAATCATTTCACTGTGTGCCTTGGTTTCCTCCTTCTACTACCAGGATTAGTAATTCTTACACTATCAGGTTTCTTATGAAGATCACATATGAGAATGTCTCTAATCACAAACATTATCATCTATGTGTAAAAAGAACACAAAACACAGAGAGATGTGGGTAAAGAAGAGGTCCAGAATTTGACTAGAAAATTTGGGGAGGTAGAGAGCACTTTGAGCTTGATGGATTAGGGAATGATTGTAAAGAAGGTACTTGCAAGCTGAGCCTTGAAGGAAGAGAAAGGATTCTGAAAGGCAGAGGTGAGGAGAGAGCATTCTTGTCACGGAAGATGGATTCTACAAATGCACAGAAGGGCAAGAGAGAAGTCAAACTTGGGAATGACAACATTTACTCAGTAGAAGACAAAAACATTTATAATAAAAATATACCAGCCTACCTATAAACCTGGATCACAGTCTCCCACTAATTCATCTGGTGACTGTAGAGAAGAGAGAGCACACTGACATAGCAGGGAGGCCCACAAATAGATAAATCTATGTAAATCACAACTCTGCAGGGTAACTCAAAACTACGTCTTTGGATTTTTTTAGAGAACAATCTGGATCCCCCATCACCTGCTATCTGCTGTCCTTCTGATTCTCGCAGCTCTTCTCCCAGGCAAAGCAATTTCTCTATTTTAGATCTGATGGAATGCAGTCAAGATTGTTTTGGCACATAGCTACCCTTGGAGCTGAGAAAGGGTTCTAAATTTTTAGAAAAAAAAAATCATTGCTAGCATTTATATAGTATGTTAAGGTTTACCAAATGCTTTAACAAAATTATCTCAATTCTTACAACAGCCCTAGGAAGTGTTATCATCCTCCATTTTTACATATGAGAAAACTGAGGCAAACAAGTTAAATGACTTGCCCTGGGTCACACAGCTAGTAAGCATAGCTCAAAATAATGGCAAAAGCTGCTTTTACCCTATGCCTTAGGCTATAGAGGGAAATAAAAGGTAACAGTGGCACCACAGAGAGGTCTCCTTTCTCTCAGGCTATAGATGGTTGTAGAGGGCAAGAAGTCCAGTTAACCGTACACAGAGCAGCAGCAGCAGCAGCTCTTCTTTAATCAGATTCTAGCAACTGGAGGGCCTGCCTGGCTTCAGTCAACTCTTAAATGACCCAGGACTTTTCCAGGTGATCAGCTCTCAGCAACGCAACATTTCTATTGCAATCATCATCCCAGAAAATCAGTTGCAGGGCCTTCCTGTCGGTTTAGATTCTATCAGCCTATGTATTTTGTGTCTACACCCCTGTTCATTTTTCTCTCCAACTTCTGTCTTCCTTAGGCCATCTCTTACCCTCCTCCCTCTGGCTTCTCCTGCGTTGAACCAGAGTCTCCTCATGAGCAGTGACCCCTCTCGACATGAAGCAAAAAATCCAATAACTGTCAGATATGACCTCAACAATCCATACAGACCTCTCATTTTCCCTTAACACTTAATTTGTGATATGTCAGATATATACTCTAAAACTCTTGAAAGAATGATTTGCAAACAGCTAACTGACCACCAAGCACAAGGTGAAGTTTTCTCTCAAGTGGAACAGTCTTGCATCTTCCATAAAGCACTTTTATCCGAGGGGTTGGAGGAGCTTTGTTTCTTCTCAAGCTGACTTTATCACTATTCCTTAAGCAAATGTTCTTTTTCTGTCCCTTTCAGCAAACAAATGTGCACATAGCAAAGTGGCAACACTTGTGACTCCATTCCTCTATCGTCATGCCACATATACATTCTGTTTCTAAATCTTGCTATTTCTTTCTCTACAGTGTCTCCAACCCCAGAGCATTCAGCCAGACCCCTGATCACCACCCTGGAATCATTATCTTTTCTTTTCTGTCCCATCCCTCAAAGTTCTTATGGAAGGGTTGCCAGTATCCCTTTTTCTCAAGATGTCACTTGTTATGGGTTTAAAGGCCAGTGAAGTCTCCTTGTACGTGCATCTCTTATAGTGGGCAGAGTCATCTGTGAACAGGGCAAATGGTGTTCCTCAGAACCAAGTCTTTCTAGCAGGTGACCATTGAGTTACTAGAAGGGGCAAAACATAAAGCTACCACTGAAGGTCTGAGCCTCCAGCAAAGTCACAGTCTGTTTCTGAAAAGCCTAGGGGCAGTTAGGTGACACAATGGATAGAGCACCTGCCCTGGATTCAGAAGGACCTGAGTTCAAATCCAGCTTAAGACACATAACACTTACTAGCTCTGACCCTGGGCAAGTCACTTAACCCCACTGCCTAGCCAAAAAAAAAGTACCAAAGCCTGAGGGGCACAATGGTAAATGTGTCATTTCCCTTGTCAATCAATACTGAGAAGAAAAGTGGAACCAGACTTTCCTCTGATCTGAGGACCATCCTTCTCCTGCTGCAGGTGTCCCCTGAAGGAAGGCAACAAAGGGCTGAGCTGACTTCCATCTGGCCCAAGGTGACTTCTTCCTGCACTGCTAGGAAGACTTCCACCTCCTACACCGCCCTGATCTCCAGCCTCAGATAAGAAAAGGAGTGAGAAATTTATCTGATAGTGATCCTTTCATCTCCTTCTGGGAAATGGCACCTTGTGTCTTCTCTCTCTTGCTGGGCATCTACCATCTATCCCAAATCAATGACTTCCATCTATGCAAGCATAAAGCAAATTTCTGCTGCCAGTCCAATCTCCCTACTGGGAGGTGGAGAACCTCTGGTGCAAAGAGGAGTCACCTTCCCTTTGACTTTACCCCTCCCTTCCCCTGCTGCCCCTATCCCTTGAAGGAAGAGAAAGAGGAGAGTCATTGGGGAATAGGACTTCCTTCTCCTGCTATGCCCTTTCCTATCTAATCTCTACCCTATGGACAGAAGAAGAGTAGTAAAGCAGAGCCTCCCATCTCACCATATGGCTTTCCATCTCATACTGTACTTCCCTCCAGTCCAATATCCAACCACTACCGGGGAAGATTGTTGCCCTTCACTTAATAATAAACATCCTCACCTGGTTATACCCTTCATATCCCTGTAATTCTGAACCACCATCCAAACCCCATTCCATTCCTCCCATTACCTGATTGCATATTCCCATCTCCTTCAAATCTACTACCCCAAAGTTCAAATCTAACTCCACCTACACCTTCCACTGTGCCCTCTGAAATGCCTATTCCATAGGCAACAAACTCCCCTTCATGCTAAATCTTTTCCTTTCTCACTCCTTTCATCTACTAGCTCTTACTGAAACCTGGATCCCCGATGACTGTTGTTGTTTGGGGTGCTGGGAGCCCCAAAATGCAAGGATACAGGGGGTCTGCCTTGAAAGAATTCAACCACTCAAGCCTTCTTTCAGTCAAGGAGCAAGGTTTTATTAAAACACCAGTTAGGCAGGAAAGATTCCTAGCAAATCTGCAATATTGTGATGGCAATAGAAGCAGATGAGATTCTAAGAATCTGCACAATTTAAAAGGGGGGGGGGGGTAAGATTAGTACTTACATTCAAGAAAAGATAGTGAGAAGATCTGGACAGGATTAAGGAGCGGTAAATAGCATGGGGTGGGCCAGGTGAAAGGAGTTAAGTGGTCAGAGAGCCACAGTGAAAGGGAAGTTAAAATGATTATTGAGTATCTAGGTGGGCTATGATGGACCAGATGCCTCAGGCAAAATGCCAGGGACTGGGTTATGTGTGGGGAAGTTCAGGGTTTGGGTTGCTTTCAAAGACATGGTCTTTTCCTTTTAGGGGTCCAAGTCCCATCACCCTATCACTGATGACACAGCCTCCCTGGCCACCCTTTCTAGTACTGGCTGCACCTTCACTCATCTCCTTCAGTATGAGAGTTGAAATACTCCTTGCCCTTACTCTTAGGTTCTCCCCCTACCTCCAGTACTCAGTATCCTCTCCACCCTTTGTGGTTCATGCTATTCACATCTCCCATTCAATCTAAATCCTGGTAGCTGTTGTCTATAGACCCCCAGTTCACTCCCTTTCTTTTTTTAACGAGTTTGGTACATTGTTCACAAATTTTCTCTCCTACCCAGCTCCTTCTTAATACTATGGGACTTCCACATACATACTGACTCTCCCCCAAACACCTTAATAACTCAGTTCCTCAACTGACTCTCCTCCCATGAGCTACTCCTCTACCCCACTTCAGCCACACACAAAATGGACATACTCTCGCTCTTGTCATCACCCACAAATGCACCACCTCTATGTTCAAGAATTCTAAAATCTCTTATATGGCCATAATCTACTGGCTTTTCACCTCTCCCTCTGCCTTCCCTTACATAACATTACTCTTTATCCACATGGTGACCTCCAATCCCTTGGGCCAAGGGTGGAGAACCTGTGGCCTCGGAAGCCACATGTGGCCTTCTAGGTCCTTGGATTTAGCCTTTTGACTGAGTCCAAGAACGAGACTTTCTATCTACCTCCACTGAATTTCATATCTTAAATTAAGCCTGCTTTTAATGAACAAGAACACGATAAATACAAAGAAGCAGGGGAAACTTACATAAACTACTCCAACTGAAGTAAGAAAAAAAATAGAAAACAAAAGAGCATACACAACCTCTACATCAATGTAGACAATGGAGGGGGGCAGAATCAGTCATAAAACAATGAAAACTGAATATTTCTTACTGCACAGTAAAATAGCATGACAGTTATCACAAGAATCAATTTGTTTCAGCCATTCTACAAAGGATGGGCATCTACTTTGTTTCCAGTTCTTTGCTACCACCAAAATGGCTTCTATAAATATTTTGTTGTGTGGCTAGTGAGCTCTTGGGGTATGTTTAGCAGTAGCACCTCTGGGTCAAAGAATATGGACATTTTAGTCATTTTATTTGTATAATCTGTAACTGCTTTCCAGAATGGTGGTACCAATCCACAACTCCACCTACAATGTATTAATGTGCCTGTCTTTCCACAAGTTCTCCAACATTGTTCCAGTTTTTTGTCCTTTTTGTCCATTTGCAGGGTATGAGGTGAAACCTCCTGGTTATTTGGATTTGCATTTCTCTTCTTACTAGTGATTTGGTATCATCTTTCATATTGTTGTTAATAGTTTGCAAGCATCCTTTAAAGAACTCTTTGCCATGGCTAATATGGAAATGTTTTGCATGTCTTCACATGTATAATTGATATCATATTGCTTGCCTTCTCAATGGATGGGGAGGGCAGAAGGGAGATGATTTGGAACTCAAGACATCTTTTAAAATGAATGTTAAATATAAATAAATAAAAACAATTATGGAAAAATAAATAAAATCAATCAATCAAAGAAAAACTGTTTATATCCTTTGGCCATTTGTTTATTGGGAAATGACTTTTGGCAGGGCAAGAGGTATTAGCTGCTCTACCCTTGGCAGAGGCATCTCCAGTGGTTATTTAAATGCAAGTATCCATCCCTTCAGTTCATACTATCTGTATCTGCTAGATTTGTTATGTTTCTGAAATTCCTCATCTGTTTCCTTTTCCTATCCAGGTGGTCTGTAGCATACATACTCTATAGAAAATAACACTCTGTTCCTTACTCATTTGGCATTCACTCAAATATTCTCCATCATGCTCCCCTCCCCCCTCTGTCTACTGGATTTCTTCACATGAATACACCTCCTTAATGTACAGAACTAGCCTTTCTTCTCCCTTTACCTATCCTGTTTCTTTTGAACAAGCAATGCCCAGCCAGAGCCAATATTCTCTCATTGGCTTCATTTCAGCCAAGCTCAGATATACCTATGAGGTCAAATTTGTCTTCTTCCATTAGGACTTTGGTTCTCTTTATTTGTTGCCTAACTTTTGGCATTTGAGTATAGGCATTTGAGGTCATTGATTTAACTAGTGTTTCCTTTCTTGGATTCTGTTACCTGTGGATTTCTAGGTCTCCCAGCTGCTATTATTTTTATTTGTGGCTAATCTCCATAATACCCAACTTAGGGGATATGTATATGCAGACTGCTCCTTCCTCCTCCTCCTTTTTACTTTAAAGTCTTTTTTGTTTAAAACTGTATGACATGGAGTCAAGGACCTTCACCATCTCCGTTCTTCTCCTGTGGAATATTCTCCAGATTATCAATATCTTTCATAGACAGTCATTTCCAGAAATGGATGGAGGCTCACAGGATCATAAATCTGGACTTAGAAGAGACAGAAGCCATCTAGTCCAACACCTTCATTTTACATAAGAGGAAACTAAGGTACAGGGAGATTAAGTGACTTGTGCGGGGTCAAACAGATAGAAAGCATCATATTCCAGAAGTGGTCTGACCAGGAAGTCTAAAGAAGGACCATCACCTCTTATTTCTGGAAGCTATGCTTCTCAGTACAATCCAAGGTCACCTTAACCTTTTATGGCTGCTAATCACATTATATTGCTGATTTATATGGAGATCTTTCTCCCTATGGCTGCTCCATCCTAGACTTGTGAAGTAAAGTCTTTTTCAAAAGTTGATTTTAAGTTCAAGTGAAAGGCTTTACACTTATCCCTATGGAATTTTATGGAGTCCAGCTAGATTCTGGACTTACTCTTCCAACCCACATGAGCACTAGCAGGCCAGGACTCCAGAGAAGGCACTGGAATTGAGAGGGGATTCCTGTTTCCTGTAGGAGGTGGGGCTGTAGCTGGGATTTAAAAGAAGCCAGTGAGGTCAGTAATCTGAGTAGAAGAGGGAGAGCACTCCAGACATGGTGGACGGCCAGAGAAAATTCAGAAGCCAAGAGACGGAGGGCCTTGTTCCGGGAACACCCAGGAGGCTGGTGTCGCTGGATGGAAGAGTACGTGGTGGGTACACGGTGTAAGAAGACTGCAAAGGTGGGAGAGCTGTTACCAATACCAAGCGGGGCATTCTGTGCTTGCTCCTGGAAGCAATGGGGCCCCTGGAGTTGACTGAGTCGGGGTGGCATGACCAGACTTGTGTTCTTCGAGGACCACTTTGGGGAATGAATGGAGGATGGACTGCAGTGGGGAGAGCCCCGAGGCAGGCAGACCGGGTTTGGGAGGCTGAGGGTCTGTACCGGGGTGCGGGCGGATCGGAGGAGAGGCCACATTCAGGAGGAGGTTGGGAAGGTGAACCGGGCCCCACCATTCCTCCATCCTTCCTCTGCGCCAGGCCGGTGACCTGCCTCCCAGGCGCTTCATCCATTCCCCCTTTCTGTCCCGGCGGTCTCTAGTCAAACAATAGCATTGCTCCTGTTTCTTCCCTCGTTGACCTTCCCTCTCATTTTTGTTGCTCTCCCCAGCCGGCACACAGCAGGAGCTTCATAAATGCTGCTAATCCGGGCCTGATTCTCGGCAAGACCAAAGAACTGTTGCCTGAGGTGGGAATGTGGTGAATCCTGGGGGGAGGGGGCGGCCACGAGGACGGACCCCAGGAGGGGACAAGAGGGGCGCGGGAGAAGCCGAGCGCATGCGCACTCGAAAAGCTTTGCCGTCTCCGCGTGTGTAGCAGGATGAGCTTTCTATCTAAAGGACCAAGTTCCCTGAAGTTTGCTTTCGAAGTGCGCACGCGCAAAATCGTGAGCGTTCCATGCCGCCCCACAGGCCAACCCCCGGCCGGAAGTGACGTACCTCATCCTGGGCTCTAAAGCAAAAGACTGCTCAGCATTCAGCGCTAGGCGCATGCGCTGGGAAATAACTTCTCAGCCGGACTTCCGACTTCCGGAACCCGTCCGCTTGCCAGAAGCTTCCCTGGCCTGACCGTCGTCCCTGGGGGCCGTGCGGACTGCAGGTTTCGGGCGGACAGCAAGGGCTGCCCAGGTGCGTACCTCTCCCCCTCTGCGGGCGGGCGTGGGTGTGCGTGCACGTGTGTCAGTGAGCATGCGTGTGTGCGTGCGCGTGCACGAGCATGTGTGCGTGCATAATAAGTGGATGCGGGGGGCGGGGGGAGGAGAAAAGGCCCCCTTGGACTCCTCCGCCTCAGAGGCAGCTTGGCCTCCTGGCATCGGCCTCTTTCGTGCACTTTCTGCATTTGCAAACACTCAGGGACGTCTGACATCACGAAGTCCCTCTCTGGCTCCTTTCTGGCGTCTGGCTTCCTTGAATTTCTGGGCATCGATATTGCACGCCCTCTGTCCAGATGAAGCTGCTGTGGCCAGGGTGGACAGGAGGAAGAAGCAGCTTTCTCCATCCCC